ATTACCATATATTTCTTTTTTCTATTATATAATATTAATATTATCTATTCATTTTTTGAAATAAAATGACTGAAAAATATACAGAACTAGTAATTCCAGACTGGAATAAAAATATACCTAATATACTGACCGATTTCTTTTATTATTGAACATGAAAAATAGACCTACCGGGTGAGTCTCAAAAGTGGCTAACCCCTATAACTTTTTTAATTTTTTAGTTAAAAAAACGAAATTTGATATGTTAGTATATGACATAAATTAGGATTGATTGACGTATTCAATTGTTTCCGGTCATTTCCGGTTTCACCGGAAATGACTACACCTTTTGATTTTTAAATGGCACTCCCCGTATTTTTTTATTATTCAGATTCTATTCAGAATGTCATTTTCTATCGAATAAAGGAAAAAAATACCGAGGGTGCCATTTAAAAATCAAAAGTTGTAGTCATTTCCGGTGAAACCGGAAGTGACCAAAAACAATTGAATACGCCAATCAATCCTAATTTAATTCATATACTAACATACCAAATCTCGTTTATTTATCTAAAAAAATAAAAAAAGTTATACTTTTGAGACGCACTCGGTATATTGCCGATCATAAATAAAATAGAGTACTGTATAAGTGTAAGTACGCACAATTTTAATTTTTGAACGTTCTTGTTTGTTTTCTTTTTTCTTTAACCATTAGTTTATATCCATATAGTTTTTTTTCTTTCTTGGGTATGAAGTTTTATAATTGAAAGATAGAAAACTTTTTTATGCGACGTTTCGCTCCAACATAGTGGGCTTTTTCAGGCACTTTATTCTAAAAAACTTGAAGTCGTCTTGCTAGCACCAGTCTGTATAAATGAGTCTTTTTTGTAATTAAAGGGGATACAATAAGGAACACATTTAAGGAAAAATTAGAAGGGTTAAAAATAATCCGATCATTGAACACTCATTACTATTTTTTTTTCATTGTTCAATTATCAATGTAATATTGTTTAAATATTTCATTTGTTCTTATATATTTACTTACCCTTATTGATCCCGTTGTTTAAAGAGTATTTTTAACTTTTAAATAAATAATTAATTCTGAGATGAAAGATTCTGAGAACATTTTTTGATATAATAGTACGAGAGCTAGCAACGTCAAAGTATTTTAAGACGTCTGGCTCTTTGATATATCTTTTACTATGCTCTTTGGAACAACATGCGACCCGTCTGGCTGCCGGTAAACGTTGCGTTCCCTACTGCGCATTGAAAGAAGATCTTTAATTTTTATTAGTCCTTTAAATTCTAGTATTGAATATAAATCGAACATGTCTCCATAGCGCAATGCGTAGAATTTCCGACCACGAACCGATGATTCAGAGTTCGAATCCGGGTCAGGGCAAGGACTTTTTTATTTTATTTTCGTTTATATTCTGAAAGTAAAGTATTAAATATTTGTTTTTTTTAAATTACCAGAATTATTTAATACTTTACTATCAGAATATAAACGAAAATAAAATAAAAAAGTCTTTGCCCTGACCCGGATTCGAACTCTGAATCATCGGTACGTGGTCGGAAAAGTTACTGCGCTATGGAAACATGTTCGATTTATATTCAATACTAGAATTTATAGGACTAAATTAATAAAAAAATATAGGATCTTCTTCCGATGCGCAGTAGTGAACGCAACGGGTATCGGCAGCCAGACGGACCGCATGCTGTTCCAGAGCGCATAGTAAAAGATATATCAAAAAGACGTGTTAAAATACTTTCTCGAAAATGTTGCTAGCTCTTAGACAATAACATGTACGTTTTGAAAAATATTATAAGTAAAGTTTAGCGCAGATTGTTGGGATATAAACATATTTCTACATATTTATAGATATCTAAAAACAGTATAAAAATTATCAAGAACGTCCAAAAAGAGGCTGTGAAAAAGTATTCTTAACGATAAGAATAATTTACCTTCCCTAAATATATATTTTAAGCTTTTACAAAAAAACAAATTTTTTCCATCAGATGTAAAATACCACCTAAGAAAAAATATGCTCGGTACATGCAATTTAAATTGGTTCAAATGAGTTCTCCTTTATGCATTCGTTTAAAGCAACACTCCTAGATGCAAACAAGCCAAAAAAAAAGCAGGAATAAAACACTATAGTGTGGAATAGTTCTTGTAAATTTTTGAACCCCACACAACATTGAACAAGCTCAAACTATGTTATGATTTGGTAGCCTTCCCAATGATTTTTCAAATTTGGTCATGGTCAAAAAACATCGTTCTATAACTGTCAATTGTTACTAAAACCTTGATGGCATTTTCACAGATATTTTCCAAACAAATATGATAATCACTATATCTGTCAAATTATTTATATTTGTGTGCATTTCCGAATGCCATTGAATTGCAAAAATAAGTTTAGAAGTCATTGAAGTCAATATGGGTCCTTTGTTATGTTTAAATGTTATTGAAATAATACTTTAAATTTACACAGGATCCGGCAATAGGCGTCGGGCATCTGTAGCACCTAGAATAAAAAAACTTGAGAATTTTGTTTGTGCAAACCTTATTGTTTCTTGAATTACATCCGTTAATTCAAGAAAATATTTGTTTTTTTCAATTTCATTCAAGAAAATATTTTCTCTTACGAATTCTATAGGGTGGCCCAAAAAAGTGTAAGTGGACCAGGATGATTTTTTTTAATGGAACACCCTGTATATTATTGCATTTTTGGCTTCCTTTCAGATTACTTTACATAATCCTAAGATATGAGTAATTATATTTCGATGGTTTCACAGATATTAATAAATAAATAAAATATGTATATTTTTCAGCCTTTCTTAAAAAAATTATTACAAATACAGGAAATGTCCTGAAATCAAACTATTATAGATATTTAATTTAGATGGTCTGTACTTACTTTGCTATAAATATGGTAATCGTAAATTATACAGGGCGTTCAAAATTCTACGCTAAACTTTTTAAAATATAAAAAAACTTTTTAAAATATAAAATAATTTTTCTTCCTTTTTTTAAAACACCCTGTATATTATTTTCTAATTGGAAAGTTAAAAAATGAACATTTTTTGTATTTAATGTATTTTAAATTTTTTAATGGTTTCGCAGATACAAACAGTATTATTTCATATGGCTTTTTCAACGGTAAAATACGAGAGAAAAATTATTGGGTGGCTTTGATATAAATTTACTGTGGAAAATGCCATATGAAATATAAAACCGTGGATATCTGCGAAACCGTTAAAAATTTGAAATACTCTAAATACAAAAAATGTTCATTTTTTAATTCTTTATCTATTGAAAAAATAATATACAGTGTGTTCAATTTAAAATAACGAAGAAAAACTTGTAGAATTTTGAACATCCTGTATGATTTACGATTTCCTTATTTATAGCAAAGTAAGAACAGGCCATCTAAAGTAAATATCTAATATAGTTTTGATTTTAGAACAGTTCTTGTATTATTCATATCACAGATTATACAGATTATAATCTTTGTTTTTTTTTTATTGTTTTTCGTGGTTCCAATTTTCGGAATCGGGCACTAGTTAGGTGACTAGTTTGCACACATAGCACGCCCAGTTATGGCCTCTAAAATTGTGCACAGCGCCTGACCGGCACAGTTATTAGAGAGATATCGGAAAACCGAATAGCGTCATTCAGTATTTACGCGTACCTTACCATGGTTACGATATGCGCGAGTCAATTTTTAACGCAACACCCGCTAATAACGTTACCGCCTGACGTAATTTGCGGATCAATTACACCAAGCGCATGTGCGGGTGTTTGACAACCGGAGCCGGCCCGCGAGATCTTTTATTTTAGGTTATGTTTGAATGATTGCTTTAGCTTTATTAGGTAATTTGATATTTAAGTAGCTGGGGGATTAGTTTTAATTAAATAAATATGGCCCAAAATATGGATTCCACCTCTTCCAATACTAAAGAATCTATAAATAAGAGTCTTAGGTTTACAGCAGATGACGACTTAGCCCTTCTAAGAGAATTTGTTGCTGGATGCCCTAAACCCATTGGCAGACGTTGAACAATAAAGCACTGGAAATAAGCACTTTAGCCCTTTAGTTTTAAAATACCTAGTAAACAGAACAATTTCAAAGTTTTAAATTCAAAGTTAGATTAAGTTTAAATAGCGGACGCGACGCGATCAGAATTCTTTCCGATCCGATAACTATAAATCAAGAGTTAATACCACCTCACGTAAAGGAAATAACACCTGGCCTTATTAACGTCCATGCACGCTATTCGGTTTAGCGATATCTCTCTATTACGCTGTTTATTGTTATTTTACGCGAGTTTATTTTTGCGCACAGGTAATTTGACTCGTTTACACATCGTCATAAAAAACAATTTTCGTACCACGAATTAGGGACAAGATTTTTATCTGTATACTTATAGGATACCTAATCTGTGTTAATATCTTTTTAAGAAAGGCTGAAAATATATAATTTTTATTTATTTATTAATATCTCTGAAACCATCGAAATATAATTATCCATATCTTAGGATTATGTAAAGTAATCTGAAAGAAAGCCAAAAATTCAATAATATACAGGGTAAACCATTTAAAAAAAAATCATCTCGATTCACTCACTTTTTTGAGCCACCCTATAGGAGTTAAAATATTTTCCTGAAATACATCCTCGTACATACTTTAGGTGTGCACTTAGTTTTTTATTCTAGGAGCTACAGATGCCCAACGCACTATTGCCGGACCCTGTATATAAAATAACATTTGCTAAGTAGAGAAAACATTTTCTAGTTTTGATGCATAATTACTGAATTACATTCCCTTTAAAGTTCCAGAAACAGTTCTATGGTACTACAATTTTTATAATTTGCTAGATACAATACAGGACTCATACGAATTTGTATATTCTTTATGCTTTATCGAACATCAAAAATACAGTTTGACTAAGCTAGACTTTTTCTAAATTTATTGACAGTTATAAAACTGTTGTTTTTGTTGTGATTTTTGTTTATACAAGTACCTGGTCGCCCGCACCCACGTCCGTATCATCCCTATCTACGTGAACTCCCTGAGCGATATTCGGCGACTGTTCCTCGAGGGCTACCAACAGGTTCAATGTACGGTAGTCTAAGCCTATTTTTTTCGCAAAGAAAAAAACAGAACGGGGAAAGAAAAGCATTTAATTTAATTTTGCCAATTTTTACTCCAAACACTATACAATAAACTAAATAATTTTGTTACCTACTAATTATATGGAACTGGATCTTATTGCCAGTTTTTATTGGTTTAAATTAAAAAAAAAGTTAACACATGCTATATACAGGGTGTCAAAAAAATAGTGTATCTAACTTCGGTGGGTGATTCTACAGATAAAAATAAAACAAAAAGTTGCCGAAGAAGTTACAGCCCTCAAAAGGTTAAATAAAGATAATATATTTTTTTAATTTTTAAGAAGATTGAAGAAGATTAAACCGTTTTTCTTGAAATTTGGTACTCTTACGCACATTTTAATTCCAAAGCGAATGACGATAGTGTAAAATTCCGTAACAGCCCTGAAATGGTACTCCTTCCATTAGGGTAGAGAGTACTACTGGTGGTCGTTCTTTTATCCTTATAGATACAGTAATTTCAACAAATGAAAATTAAAGCTCGGACTTTTTTTTATATAAAAAAGGTACTCTTCGTTTAGTTAACCTAACGAAACGGTGAACGGGTTTTTAAGATATTTGCGTTCCGATGCATCGATTTTAGTATTAGCAAGATCAGGAGATTAATTTATTTAAAATTTCTTTATTTTTATTTTATCATTTCACTAATACTAAAATCGTTTATTTTCCTATATTATATAATATAATTCCTATAAAAAAGGTTTTATAAAATTTTTCGCTAAAGTCAACCGTTTAGGCACAAAATCCCTGGAAATTTTACAATTTTGCGTAAAATATTATATATTATGTATAGTCGATTTTCCGAAATCAAATGTCGATTAGGGTTCACTAAAACTAGTTTTAGTTTAGTTTGTTCAATTTTGTCATAAACAGTGGCGTATTATTAATTCGCTCATTAATTTATGAATAATTAATTTTAATTATTGAAAATGTGTACTTGTTTCCACACCACTCGAGAGGTAAAGTATATGGCGCGTTTATTTTAACGTGGTCTCCCCGGAGGCCTACTCCACTAGATAAATTAAAAACTTATTTGCACAAGCCCGACGGATCTGCCCCATTGATGTCAGAGTCGATCGTGTCTGCTGTGCTGGGCTCATCAGGGTGGTCTCTCAATACGTCCAACTCCTCTTCATCGGATTCGTCGAGTGACACTACAGTGACGTTGTCACAGGATTTCCCATTGCAGTATGCACAAATAATTGAACATTTTAATCCTGCTTTTCTGCATCCGCAGGCTCTACCATAGTGGTTGGTTTTGCATTTACAGGATAAAAATGCCAACAGGGATTTTGGAGCTGGATCTTTCAACGTTGTGACTGGAGTAATGTCTGTTTTTGTTTTCTTCCAACCCCATTCTTCGGCATCTTTGGGACAACCAGACCAATGCTGAACCTGGTGGTAAGTTCGCAATGAATGCTGTCCAGCACGACAATTAATTATTCATAAATTAATGAGCGAATTAATGATACGCCACTGTTTCATGACAAAATTGAAGAAACTTAACTAAAACTAGTTTTAGTGAACCCTAATCGACATTTGATTTCGGAAAATCGACTGTACATAATATATCATATTTTACGCAAAATTGTAAAATTTCCAGGGATTTTGTGCCTAAACGGTTGACTAGCGAAAATTTTCATAAAACCTTTTTTATAGGAAATTTTGCTCTCCTCAAATTTTCGAGATATTCACAAAATACCGATTTTGGGCGCCATATTGACAAGATGGCGGCGCCGGCTGCAAGTCTGGAAACGTGCATTTTATGGATTTTAGTTAGGGACCCCAAAACCTATAAACATGTAAAGGGCCTAAAAAACCTTTTCAAAACTTCCAGACATTTTTGCAAGCATGCCCCTTTTTTGATCCCCAATGAGTGAACTATGTATCTATAAGGATAAAAGAAGTACCACTAGTAGTACTCTCTACCCTAATGGAAAGTACCTTTTCTTAGTAAGTTTTCTTTAGGAATTTTCCATAAGAGTACCAAATTTCATGAAAAACGGTTTACCAATGTTCTTAAAAATAATCAAGATATATTATTTTTATTCAACATTGCGATTGTAACTTCTTCGGGAAGCATTTTAGGCCATTTGTTTATAGGAACTTTTTGTTTTATTTTTATCTGTAGAATCATCCACTAAAGGTAAATACACTATTTTTTTGACACCCTGTATAGGATATGATAAAAGATTTATAATGCCGTGCTCTGTACAGAGGGTAGGCAACCTATTGCATGTACTAGTGATGAGTTATCTACAAGATACTGGTTTTTTAGATTGTAGCTAAAAATGAGTATGGAAAGAAGTTAGAATAACTCTTTTCATCTAATTAGCGCAATCGATTTAAAATTAGAACTATACCAGAAAATATTGAAGACTAGCGCAAAGAGAAGTATAAAGCAAGATTAAATAAGCAAGTTCTAAATTGCAATACAAGTACACTACATAAAATTGATACACTATTTATAGTACGTGTCACTACTGACTACTGAAAAAGTTATTACTGAGAAATACTTATATGAACGGCTAAAAATTATTTTCTAATTTTTACCTTTTGAAGAGTCATCATATCCAATATGTTTAACTGTTTCTCTTACAACTTTTTGATAATCTACGTTAGCTTTTGATGTAATTTCACCGCAGAGTAGAATCATGCCAGTTTTGGTAACAGTTTCTGTAAAAAAAGAAATACTTGTTTTAAAAATTTAATAGGGGACAGGACCATACTATTTAGAGAGAGGGAGAGATGTCGATATTAATACAATCCACTTTTGAATTGAAATTCAATTAAAAAGACAGACTGTCAAATTCAATTAAAAAGACAAATAACTATCATACCTTCTTTTGTTGGACACTATATCTCAATCATCATTCAATCAAAAATGTATAACAATGTATAACAGACTAATATTGTATTTAAATTGTATGACTTTTGGTAAAAAAATCATTAAAATCAATAGAGCAGTTCAAAAGTATGATAAGTAAATTAGACAAATGTGATTATTATACCAGATAGAAAAAATAAATCTTTATTTTCTGTTATGAACAGACAGTATATTTACTTAATATGTATTATACCGGGTGTTGCATCGTCGGACGGGACATGGGAAATCCCATGTAAATTTTAATGGTGTCAATTATTGATGGCTTCCCTAATTGTTTTAGAGAATAATTCTATTTAGGTTTATTGAAGAGCACCAAAACCCACATTCAAAAGAATAACTTTAGGTATTTTTGATTAGCTCGTTTACGAGTTATCGCCGATTTCTTTTTAAATCTTTCTCCTTTCTTATGGCCGTGTATTTACTTATGAGCACCAGTCAAGGTAAAAGATAACTGTCAAATGAAGTTGTCATTTCAGAAATTTATCTATTTAGTGCTTTATTATTATTATTAAAAACTCATACCTACATCGAAAATATTAGCCATAAATTACACCACCGAAGAAAAAGTATTGATGATTAAATGGTATTATCAAGGAAATAGTTATCAAAAGGTGTCGGACATGTTTGCTGCTCTGTATCCGAATAGACCGATACCTGGAAAATCTACAATCGCAAAGAATATCCAGAGATTTGACACCAAAGGTACCCTAATAAATAACTGCAGATGTGAAGTAAGGCAGGAACAAAGAGAAGATGCAAAAAATGATACCGATTTGGAAGTTTTATTGTGCGTGGAAGAGAACGATGGAAAGATCAGCACAAGGAAACTTAAGGATGAAATAGGAATAGATCACACTACAGCGTTTCGAATTTTGAAACGACATAAATACTATTCCTTCAAACATGAAAAGCACCAAGAGCTACGAAATGGGGACGAAATACGGCGGCAGGCGTTTTGTTTTGATATGATGGAAAGAGCAAACACGGATAGGGAATTTTTAAAAAACATATGTTTCACTGACGAATGCACATTTACCTTAAATAATGAACCCAATGTTCAAAATTATCGATATTGGAACAAAGAAAACCAACACAGGTTTGTCGAAACAAGGACGCAATATCCACAGAAAGTAAATGTTTGGACAAGGATATTCGGACACAATATTATCGGGCCATTATTTCTTACGCGAAATTTAAATGCAGAATATTATTACTAACTACTCGAAAATCATATTTTACCTGCTTTACATGATGCCGCTAGGGAAAATCAGGAAGTTTGGTACCAAATGGATGGCTGCCCGGCACATAGTACCCTGACTGTTCGGGAATATTTAGACAATAGTTTTAACGGAAACGTTATTGGCCAATTTACTGTATGATTTACAGTAAATTGGCCAGCAAGGTCTCCTGATATTTCGCCAAATGATTTCTTTCTCTGGGGCCATTTAAAAAACAGGATATACAAGGATAAAAAATACCCAAATCTAGACGAGTTAAAAAAATGCTATTTCTGCCGAATGCAATAGAATTTCAGTTTACCAACTAGCGAATGTAAGAAGAGAATTTTATGATCGCCTGGGTTATTGTCTAGCAGTCGATGGAGGAATATTTGAACATCTTCTTAAATTCTAAAGTTCTAACAATTTAACAGTACCTAAATTAATAAGTTATTGAATATTGTAATACTACTATAATTAACCTTGTAATTGATTACTTTATTTTACTTTCATTCATATTAATTTGTATTTATAAATACATCTTTAAGATTTCCGATGTAGGAATGAGTTTTCAATAATAATAAAGCACTAAATAGGTAAATTTCTGAAATGACAACTTCATTTGACAGTTATCTTTTACCTTGACTGGTGCTCATAAGTAAATACAGGGCCATAAGAAAGGAGAAATATTTAAAAAGAAATCGGCGATAACTCGTAAACGAGCTAATCAAAAATATCTAAAGTTATTCTTTTGAATGTGGGTTTTAGTGCTCTTCAATAAATCTAAATAGAATTATTCTCTAAAATAATTAGGGAAGCCAATAATTGACCCCATTAAAATTTACATGGGATTTCCTATGTCCCGTCCGACGATGTAACACCCGGTATAGCAAAGTTTACAGAATAGTACTAGGTAAAGCATTATCAATATTGATATACTGTCAATAAACATTTGGGACTAAAGAAATTCATTTGATATTTCTTGGTAAAGTCTGTTATATCATTTTCTAAAATAGAAGATCAATAAGACTAAATGACAAATACCCTGAATATTTTAACTTATAAAGGAAAAGTCCTTGTCTGCTAATTCTAAGCCGAAATTAACTGTTGAAAAATAGACCTCTTAATATTACTGTCATAAGTATATCTCCTTGATGACGTTTGATAAATATTTACCATTTACCCTGTTTTTATGCATCCGAATTTCAGATGCTTTCCACGAAAAACATGGCCGCACGGAACTCGTAAAAAGTTAGATAACTTAAGTTTTAACGATTATAGAAATATAGGCAGGGTTGGGTGGGGTAGAAAATTTTACATATTTACATGTAGAATATTAATTTTCTACATGACGATATGTAGAAAATTAGTTATGTACATTGAAAGCCATTTTTTGCGTTTATATTTGATTTAAATACTTTAACACAATGATTAGTACAAGAAATAAATTAATAACAATAACTCTAATTGTTATTTATTAGTTATGAAATGGATAATAATATGTTAACAAAACATTAACTATGAATTTTTATATTATTTGAAATAGAAATGGTTTGTCCAAAGTGAGGGATCCAACAGTGACTTGCTGTGATTCGTGTTTTAGATTTAAAAAAAAAACTACTTCTCAATAGTAAAACTCAAACAGAACAAAAAAAGTGATAACACCTAACATAATGACAAAAATAACTACAATAAAATTATCATTATATGTATACCGGGTGCGTGTAAAAAGTGGCTCACCCCTATAACTTTTTAATTTTTTCAGATAAAACAACGATATTTGGTATGTTGGTATATGACATAAATTAGGATTGATTGACATATTCAATTGTTTTCGGTCACTTCCAGTTTCACCGGAAATGATTACAACTTTTGAGTTTTAAATGGCACTCTCAGTATTTTTTTACTTTATTCGATAGAAAATTACACTCTGAATAGAATGACATATCATATGTCAACTTTCACGTTTTCGAATATAATTTATTTGAAATTGTAACCTGCGGTTCATAACGACAATTTGACTCGAAATACCAAGTGTGTGGTATCAAATTATTCGTAAAAAAATGCTTCTTCCAAATATGCTAATGAGCCACCCTCGTTCCATTTGAAAAAATTGAGATATGATTAAAAATACAATTTGGGCATTTTTTAACTGGCCAGAACAAGACAATAAAGACATTAGACGATCAAATCTATTTTTCCAAGACTCCTTGATTAAAAATTAGTGTTTTTAACACAGCCATGGCACTGTAGATTGAAATTTAAAATACAATTTGTTTTTGAGCGAATATGTCAAAAGTTGACATATGATATGTCATTCGATTCAGAGTGTCATTATGAAATAAAGTAAAAAATACAGAGGGTGCCTTTTAAAAAGCAAAAGTTGTAGTCATTTCCGGTGACACAGGAAGTGACCAAAAACAATTGAATACGTCAATCAATCCTAATTTATGTCATATACTAACATACCAAATCTCATTTTTTTTATCTGAAAAAATAAAAAAGTTATAGGGGGGCCACTTTTGAGACGCACCCGGTATAGTTTATAAAACCAGGATTCTTTTGAAAAAAAGGACAATCAAAATTTGTACTATAAAATCAGACTTTTTTCTACTGTCTTCAGATTAAATAGAATAAAATAATCTAAGACTCTTCAATTGATCGATTACTGTCTCTTATCTTGAGTAGTTAGTACCGTCCCAAATTCCAGTTTTAACACTTATAAAATTTAAAGGAGGAAATTTGTAAAGGAAAAAAATAGCTTTAAATATACAAAACTTTTTTGAACAGCTACTCGGATTTTATACATTTTCTACTTAATATTTTACATATTCGACATTTTCTACGCTCTTTTCTACATACACGTAGAAAATTAATTTCCTACGTGCAGTTACCCAACCCTGGTTATCAGATTAATCTGACAGCTACCCACATAAAATTAAGCAATACATTTATAAAAAATATTCTGATGCATGAAAACCTTTTAGGATGTATGAAAACTAGCCTTTAAAACTAAACACAAAAAAGTAAAAATATAATATGCAGGTGAAGATATCTGTCCTTGACTATAAATCGCAATCTGGTGCGAAAAGCAGTTATAATCCGCGCGAGCGTTATAAATAACTCCTTTAAATGCATCTTTTTAATCACTCAAAGTTGCTCAAAGTGACTGAAATTCTCAGAGTCAATATCGACTATTTACTCTAATGATAATTTGATTGAAAAAAAAATGTCATCATTTTTTATTTTCATGTTCTAGAGTTACAGACTACTTAGATAAAATGATGCAATATTAATATCCTTACAGTAGATAGTACATACATATTACATATGCAAATTTAGCGAAAAGACCTTTATGTAAATAATATAGAAAATAGGATAGACAATTTACAATTACTTACAGTCAAAAAAAATTAAAATGTAATTACTTAAAAGCTACTGACCTCTCAGTTATATCAAGAATATTTAACTCATTAGCTCTGTTCAAATTGTTTATACTTATTGTTAACAACAAATAAATATGAAAGGTAAATAGTGAAAATGTATACTCGAGTGTATATCAGTAAGATGTGCTGTGTCAATATCATTTCAGTAAACAACTCATTAATAATTGCATTTCCTAAAAACAGTTCAAGCGACCAACTGGCGTCACTGTATTAATATACCGGATGCGTCTCAAAAGTGGCTCACCTCTATAACTTTTTTATTTTTTTCAGATAAAAAATGAGATTTGGTATGTTAGCATATGATATAAATTACGATTAATAGATGTATTCAATTGTTTTTGGTCACTTCCTGTTCCTTTAATTTCCTGTAACTTTAACAACAGCAAAGAATATGACATTAATCAAAATTAATAATAACAATCTATCAAAAAATTAAATCGAACTCATATTACCATAGAAACGCATATTACCAAATTCAACCATATTTTCATGTTTTTCTTAAATTTCTCTAAAACGGTATGGAAATTCAGAAAATTAACGGGATTAACTATTTTAGAAGAAATTTTTTTTATGAAAAATGAAAATGCATTTTTCTCAAAATGTCAATAATAAAAGTTTTTCCTCTTGTGAAGACAATACGAGGCCATACTGTAGATTGAAATTTAAAATACAATTTTTTTTAAGTGAAAGTGTCAAAAGGTGACATATGATGTCATTTTACTCAGAGTGTTATTTTTTATTGAATAAAGTAGAAATATACCAAGGATGCCATTTAAAAATCAAAAGTTTTAATCATTTCCGGTGAAACAGGAAGTGACCAAAAACAATTGAATACTTGAATCAATCCTAATTTGTGTCATATACTAATAAACCAAATCTCGTTTTTTATCTGAAAAAATAAAAAAAATTGTAGGGGTGAGCCAATTTCGAGACGCCACACGGTATATATAAATATAAAAAAATATACTATTTTTTCTACAATGACAGTAAAATCAGAGTACATAGAATTCCAAATCAGTCTAGGTACTCTGGTGAAATGCACCCAATAAAATTAAAGTACTTAGTATGAATTAAGGTATTTTATTTCACTGAAAACTAAATTATATGAAAAAAATATAACATGCTTAGTAGGTGAAATATGGCAACAAATCCTTATCAAGAACCTGATAATATTCCTTACTCATTTTCAGTTCACTCCAAAGTGTGTTGAATGTTACTTGATATTGTGGTCTAATTTATATTTTCTGAGAACTCTGCTCTTGTATTCTATGTATATTAGCGGCGATATTGTTCTTATCGATTTTAACACTTACCACAGGCAACTTTGGCGTCTGGATCTTGTTGCAAATGAGCGTCTAGAACAGCGTCACTTATTTGGTCACACATTTTATCTAAAAAAACATAAAATGATTTTTAAATAGTATAATGTAAAATATAAATATTTTAATAAGCTTTAGAAGCTAGTAGGCAAAATATTAATATTCTGAAAGAACATTGAAGAAACATTCTTTTATTACATATTTGCTGATATTTGTTTGTTTATTTTCTGACAGGCGTCAAAAATTCTTTAAAGTATTTAGGTACATAAAACATGCATAAAACTACGTAGAAAACTTGAAAGAAATACTAAACGTTCAGTAGCACGTGCAATTAATAATGTAATACCGAAGTTAGTGCCTCCTGCCTCATATTGCGAAATACAACCAACAATATTTATAGCTGCAGTTATATAAATAAATTTAGTTCTAAAGCATGTTGGAACTCATTAACGGGAATGAACATTATGGTTTGTTGTCGAGAAAAAAAATAAAGGTAATGTCCTACCTGGATGGCCCTCTCCTACCGATTCAGATGTGAAAAGAAAATTAGATCCATCTTCCATGTCGTAAGGCATGTGGCCGTTCGTGTATCCGTTCGTAACAGTGTCAGGCATCTTGTCTTCTGAATACGTTGATTTTCTTCCGAATTCTATGGTTCCTTAGTGTCACACACGTGAGTTTAAATTACTTAAGTGTCGGAAAATTTTTCAGATTGTATACCTTTTCACCACTACGATTACGGTATGGGAAAAGAGGCAGATTGAATATCGACGGTTGCTTTTATAATTCTGGGATGTCACGTGACGATTTCGATTATGGCGCCGACTCGCTGCCGGTCGAAAGATCTCGCGTGGTTTCTGAAGCACCTGAAATTGTTTTAATTTTTATTTGTGTTAGTATCAGTTGATTTTGAGTGTTATTATTATTACTTTAATTATGGACGGAATATGATCAAGAGAGTTTCATCAAATAGTTTTAAATGCATTGTGAAATATTATTTTTACCAAGGTTTTTACGATGCTTACGTTGAGGATTTAGTGTATATGTAGTTGCCTGATATTCTGACTTCATTTGCCTCAATTACTTATTTACATTTTACATTTTTATGAATGAAGTTGTAGGTACAACGATTTCATTGATTTTTTTACTGTTTTTAAATTATTTTGTTTTTTGATTGCGGGTGATATCAGTGATATTATCTTGTGTATACTATTTTTATCTTAATTTGTAAATTATGATAGATTTGAGAACAGGTTTTCGTTTCATTTCTAGAGGGACTTTGTAGTGTAAAGTTTAAAGAGGAGTTATAAAGATTGCACAATTCGCACAGTTTGTATATCATGCACGGCAAAAAGTATTTTTTATTTTATCATTTAGAAGATAATGCCCATCGCGTGACAAATATTCATGTGGAATTTATTATTGTACTGTCAAAGGCCACTGCTCTATTTATTTATAATAATTTGAGCGGCAAGAAGAAGTAAAGTGGTTTGTCAATTTATTTAAATAATTGAAATATTAGAAAGGTTACAGGGTGATTCAAACTTGACCCTATGGTTGACACTAGGAAAATGATGAATAGGGATAAAGCGTCAGACGTCAAGTTTTTTCATTGGTCATACATGGTGTTTCGGAAATATAAGAGGATGTAGAAAAATGGATAATACATATTTTCAAATGGGGATGATACATGTCGTACTGAGCACCATTGGCTTTGTACCGAAAATCCTGCTTATAAATATATACTGTTAATGATTTAATTGACAAAGGTACAATAAAGGTAAACACTTTAAAAACAAAACATGTCTTTAAATGCAGAGGAAACATCTGTCATGAATCTCACTAGTTTAGTTTCAGCGGATCATTTAGTTTCAATATAGAATGAACAACGTCATTAGAAGCAATATTAGAATGAAATCGCCACGGTTTAAATTTCTTAACGATTTATTTGACAAAATAGTCTGAGAGAAAACCATCCAAACTGAGAAAAACCATCCATGTTGTTAGATAATGATAGATTTCAGAGTAATTATGCAATCAGTACTTGACAATCTTGTCGGAAACATCGGCCTACTTAGTTTCTTTAAGTGTGCGTTCTTCTATATCTTGTATAGGATCATCTATCTTCTACACGAAGCAAAGGGCTTCAGTGATAGCTCTCCATCGGGTTCTATTTCTAGCAGTTTTTGCTTCGTTCCATGTTGACCCTATTTGTTGGAGCTCATCCGATATGGAACGTCTCCATGTTTGAGCCGGTCGTCCTAGTTTCCTTTTGCCTTGGTTTTTTTTCGCAAAGTATCCATCCCAAATTTTCTTTTGCGAATCTCAGAGCCTACTTCTTGTTAGTTTGTAAGATGAAGCAGGTCGGTATTGGGTATAGTGTCCGGCCACAATATATTTAATATTTATCTCAAGCAGCGATTGATAAACTAGAACTGGTAGAACGTTAGAATTGAATATTTTTGGTGTTGTTTGTGTGGAGAGTTGACGGCAGCTCCAAATTGATTTTAGTTGGTCAAAGGTTTGCTGCGCCTTCCTGATTCTGCTGACAATATCTGCGTTTGCGTTACCACGTGCTGTTACAATGCTTGCCAGGTAAGTAAACTCTGTTCTGTGTCTCGACATTTTTGTTTCCTACATTAAATGGAACGTTGATGAGCATTGATCTTGTTTTTTCGATGTTTATACGTAGTCCTACTATATCTGATTCTGTTTTTAGGCACCTGAGCAACACTTTCGTGTCTCTGAAGGATTGAGTTGTGAGATAGATATCATCAGCATAATCAAGATCAGTCAGATGCGATGTTGAGTCCATTGAACTCTCCTATTTGCTGAGGGTGCAGCCACACTATCCTAAAAACGGCGTATCGGCGTAACGGCGTAATGACCTTGAATAGATCTCCAGTAATTCTATTGGCTGAAACATTCATCTGTCAGAAATTTTATCTGTCAAATTCATCTGTCAAAAATTTCAGCCAATAGAATTACTGGAAATCGATTCAAGGTCGTTACGCCGTTACGCCGATACGCCGTTTTTAGGATAGTGTGGCTGCACCCTCAGGCTTTAGTCAAAACGCTATCGAGCACGATATTAAATAATACAAGTGGCGATAATGTGCAACCCTGCATTACTCCTATACCCAAGTTAAAACTGTCGCTAGTTCTACCGTTGTGCAGTACATTCTGTATTTCTGTAGAGTTCTCTAATGATGTTAATTAGTTTTTTTCGGTTAGGCCTTTTCTTTTACTATATACCATACTTTACTATACATATATACCATCACATGGGGGGATACTGGCAAAGCTTTGACGAAATATATGAATAATAAGAATAAAAGTTTAACCTTAAATGTACTATGGAGGATATTATCTTGTAAATGGCGTTTAACAAAACAGTACCTCTCCAGTTGTTACAGTTGGTGGTATCTCTTTTTTTCGGGAGTTTGATCATGAGGCCTTTCATCTGGGATGATGTTAGATACCTAAGTTATTGTTATTAGAGGATAAAGTATTCCTGCTGCTGTGTTAGGATCTGCTTTGAGGAGATCTGCAGGGATGCTGTCGGGGCCGGCTTCTTTGTTGTTCTTAAGTGTTTTAATAGCTTTTTCTGTTTTAGTTGGTGTATCGCAGTTGATAGGTATTTCGAATGTTGGCTCTGGATCCTCGTTGTCGATCTTTTGTTCATTTGTTGGTCCAAGAAGGTTACTGAAGTGCTCTTTCCATCGGCTAAGCTTTTCTTAGAGGAGATGTTTTGTTATTTTGTACAGTTCCCTCATATTTCGTTCTGCAGCTTTTTGTGCCTCGTTTGCTAGTTGTTCATGCCAAGCACGTTTGTCCTTTCTGGCTGATCTCTTAACTGCTTTATTCGATACTTGATATTGTTGTTGTAAAGTAGTTTTGGTTTCGTGGGTTCAAGCACAGAATATCTAGCTACGCAACAGAAGCCTCGTTACATGTATAAAATCGTAGGTCTCAAAAGGAGACAGGCTTTCAAAGCCTGTCTCCAAATCAGATATTTTGATGCGGTAGTTTCGCTACTACATAACAGAGGGCGATAAATTTAAAAGAAAACAGTTTTCTACAAACGAAATTTAAAAAGAATTTTTATGCAGTGTTGCCATTGTGTAATTTATATTGTAATACTTCCTGATAAAGCCTACCTTCAAATTTGCTACATCATTTAAACATATTAAAATATATTAGAGCTCTTTTTTCAAACGTTTAAGTATTTAACTTGCCATGTTAGTTGGAGTTAAATCTTACGAGCTGAATTAAAATCACTTCCTAACGTTTGATTCTAACTGAATCCTGAATTTTGATTGTAATTCGGCGACAATATAATAAGTATTGTTCTACTATTATGACACCACTTCCTGACGTTCGATTGTGTTCATACCGTATGATCGAAAATCGTTATGGAATGAAAATCGCTGTCATTTTATGTGTAAATTTATATGGGAAATGTCATCGATCGTCTTTTCCCAGCCAACTGGATGCCGTTTTTTTCGATATCATACGGTATTTGATATATACTTGCGTATTTTTCATGACATTGCAATATTATGGTACCATGAAACATATCAAGTGATACCGTAATATAGTACCATATTACGATACATGGCGTTCGATTGGGCTTAAACTTGGTATATTACGTATCTTCAGTGACATTGTAATATTATGGTACCATGAAGCATATCAGGAGGCACCATAATAGTACCAGATACGATACCATTTCCTAGCGTGCGATTGGACTTATACTTTGTATAGTAAGTGTCTTCGGTGACATTGTAATATGATGGTACTATGATGCATATAAAGTGGTACCTTAATATAGTACCATATTACGATACCACCTCCTGACATTCGATTGGGCTCATATTTCATTATACTAGCGTATTTTTGATGACATTGCAATATTATGGTACCATGAAGCATATCAAGGGGTACCATAATGTAGTACCATATTACGATACAACTTCCTGACGTTCGATTGGGCTCATATTTGATTATACTTGCGTATTTTTGAAGATATTACAATATTATGGTACCATGAAGCATATCAAGGGGTACCATAATGTAGTACCTTATTACGATACCATTTCCTGGCGTTCGATTGAGCTTAAGCTTTGTATACTACGTATTTTCGGTAACATCGTAATATGATGGCACCATGGAGCATATAAATTGGTACCTTCTATAGTACCATATTATGATACCATTTCCTGACCTTCATTTGGGCTCATATTTGATATATACTTGCATATTTTTGATGACATTGCAATATTATGGTGCCATGAAGCATATCAAGAGGTACCATAATAGTACCATATACGATACCATTTCCTGGCGTTCGATTGGGCTTAACTTGGTATAGTAAGTATCTTCGGTGACATTGTAATATGATGGTACTATGATGCATCTACTATGATGCATATATAAAGTGGTACCTTAATATAGTACCATATTACGATATCACTTCCTGACGTTCGATTGGGCTCATATTTGATTATACTAGCGTATTTTTGATGACATTGCAATATTATGGTACCATGAAGCATATCAAGGGGTACCACAATGTAGTACCATATTACGATACCATTTCCTGGCGTTCGATTGGGCCCAAATTTGATATACTTGTGTTTCTTTATAAAGATTTGTTTAATTAATATAATTTTAATTTATTTTCCGAATTTTAATTTATTGTACGATGTCGTGACAGCAACTTTTAGCCGAACTAATATATTATTAATTGTACCTGTGTCACTTTTGAAAATCTACCTATATAAATAACGTAGCAAAGAGAAAAAAATTGTTATTATAGTATTTTTTTAGTCAAGCAATATTTTTTCTAATCAATTATTTCCAT